AGTAGCAGTGACAAATTCTTTGTACGTAATCTACGTCTTCGAATACGTGCAGCGGCATGCCCAATACAAAGCCTGTGTACCATCCTTATTTCATACGGCTTAGGACAATGAATCAAAGCATGCGGGTTCACACATTCGAAGAACGTAATACTTCAAGTCTGAGGATCGTTATACCAATAGTCGCATTAAGGACACTTAGAGCATAGACTAAAAGTCTAGGCAATGTCCTTAAGGTGGGTCATGTCTGGCATCATATTATTAACGATAATATCTGCCTGAGAGTAGATGCGAACACTCCGTCATTGACCAAGAGACTAGGTCAAACATCTAACTCTCACTAGTCTCACGCGCACTAACGATATCCCACTCTCGTTAATGCTTCGACGATAGACCGTTTAGAATTATACTAAGTGACAAGATGTCAGTCTCAACATCAGAAGACTCATTCTGATAAACATCTTATAATATAATTCTAGGAATGCAATTAAGAGTTTACATTAGCATGAGATGTTTGTAAACTTAATGTATCTGCCTTTACATGATAGAAAATATCTAAGATATTACAACAACAGTTGGACATAAGGGCACCAACTCCAACAATCTCCCACTTGCACTATGGCCAATCTGGCATTGGTCGAATGCCCATTGACCTAGTGTGACCCTGATGCTTTAGCTTTCCCAAAGGCTTGGTCAGGGGGTCGGCTATGTTGTCGTCTGTTCCTACTTTGCAAATCTCCACATCACCTCTGTCTACGATTTCTCGTATAATGTGATAACGTCATACAATGTGCTTGGTCTTTTGGTGAGATCATGGTTCCTTTGCCTGTGCAATGGCCCTAGTGTTGTCGCAAAACAACGGGATTGGGTCATTAATGCTAGGAACCACTCCAAGTTCAGAAATGAACTTCTTTATCCAAACACCTTCCTTTGCTGCTTCAGCAGCAGCCATGTACTCAGCCTCTGCAGTTGAATCGGCGGTTGTGTCCTGTTTAGAACTCTTCCAGCTAAATGCTCCGCCATTTAGACAAAACACATACCCTGCTTGTTACTTGTAATCGTCTCGATCAGTTTGGAAGCTGGCATCAGTGTAACCGATCACTTTCAGCTCTTCCTCACCTCCATATACCAGGAATGCATCCTTAGTATTCTGAAGATACTTTAGGATGTTCTTGACCGCTGTCCAGTGTGCTTCACCTGGATTCCCCTGGTATCTGCTAGTCACGCTTAAAGCGAATGAGACATCAGGTCTAGTACATATCATGGCATACATGATGGAACCAATTGCAGAAGCATATGGGACCTTCATCATGAGTTCCTTCTCCTCGGGAGTAGAAGGACTTTGGCTCTTGGAAAGAGCCGTGCCAGGTAACATAGGGAAGGATCCCTTTTTCGAGTTAGACATGCAAAATCGATCAAGGACCTTATCTATATATGTACTTTGACATAGACCTATCAACTTTCTTGACCTATCACGGTAGATTCTTATGCCAAGGGCATAACTAGCATTCCCCAAGTCCTTCATGGCAAAGTTCTCGCTCAACCAAGTCTTTACAGATGTGAGAGCAGGAACATCGTTACCCATTAACAATATGTCATCGACATATAGGATTAGGAATACTATCACACTCCCACTGACCTTCTTGTAAACACAAGACTCGTCAGAATTCTTCTCGAAACCAAAACTAGTGATGGTTACATCAAAGCGTATATACCAACTCCGAGATGCTTGTTTCAATCCGTAGATTGACCCTTGCAGCTTACAGACTTTGGCAGATTCACCAGCAATTATAAAACCATCAGGCTGTGTCATATAGACATCGTCTTTGAGGTTCCCGTTAAGGAAAGCCGTCTTGACGTCCATCAACCAAATCTCGTAATCGTAGAACGCTGCAATCGCAAGTATTATCCGAATGGACTTCAACATCACAACTAGAGAAAAGGTTTCATCATAGTCAATTCTGTGGATTTGTCTATAACCTTTTGCTACCAATCTAGCTTTGAAGGCATGAACCTTCCCGTCTACGTCTGTTTTCTTTTTGAAAATCCACTTGCACCCTATGGGTTTTATCCCTTTGGGCGCATCAACCAAGGTCCAGACTTGGTTTGTGTACATAGACTCCACTTCGGATTTCATGGCATTAAGCCATTGTTCGGATTCAGGGCACGTGATTGCCTCGAGGTAGGTCTAAGGTTCGCCTTGGTCTACCAGTAAGACGTCACCTTCATCAGATACAAGGAAGCCATATCTAACTGGAGGATTACGCATCCGGTCTGACCTACGTGGTAAAACCTGAGCCGGTCGAGATACTAAATCTTGACGCTCGTGTTCCACTGCTATTGAGATCTCTTCTTGTGGTTCTCGAATTTCTTCAAGGTCTACCTTTCTCCCACTAGAAATAGCTGAGAGAAACTTCTTCTCAAGGAAGGTTCCGTTCTGAGCAACAAAGATTTTGTTATCGGTCGGATGATAGAACTCATACCCTTTCGTTTGCTTAGGGTATCCCACAAATTTACACTTGTCAGATTTGGAATCTAGCTTACCAGACGTCATGAGGCGTCTAACGTAAACATCACAACCCCAAATCCTCAAGTATGAAAAATTTGGTTTTGTCCCACGCCATAGCTCGTATGGTGTGTGCTATTGTTAATAGTGATTTTCCCCAAAAAGACTCTGGTAATGTTGTCAGACTCATCATACTCCGAACCATATCGAGCAGCGTTTGGTTTCTTCTTTCACGCACTCCATTTAATTGGGGTGTACCGGGAGGAGTCAGCTGGGATAGGATCCCGTGCTCTTTTAGATAGTCGTCGAACTCTAGGCTTAAGTACTCACCTCCTCGATCCGAGCGGAGGGTCTTGATACTTTTGCCTAACTGTTTCTCTACTTCATTTCTGAATTCTTTGAATTTGTCAAAGCATTCCGATTTGTGTTTCATGAGATACACATATCCATACCGACTGAGGTCGTTAGTAAATGTTACGAAGTATGAGAAACCACCTCTAGCTTCAGTGTTGATTGGGCCACACACATCAGAGTGTATGAGGCCTAATACATCACTCGCCCTTTCACCGTGACCGGTGAATGTAGCCTTTGTCATTTTACCAATTAAACAAGATTGGCATACATCATAAGACTCGAGGTCAAATGAATCAAGTACGCCAGAGTGACGTAACTTAGATATGCGTTTCTCGTTAATGTGGCCCAAATGACAATGCCAAAGGTATGTGAGATTCAAAATGTTTGGTTTGCTTCTCCTAACATCTACGTTATAAACAGTGGCGTCTAAGTCTAAGATATAAAGACCATTGGTCATTTTAGTAGTTGCATAGTAAATATCATTTCTAAAAACCAAAAGGCACTTGTCTTTGACGTTAATAGAAAATCCTCAGGACACAGAAATTATATTCCTACTAATGGCAGGTACAAACAAGCAATTGTTTAAATGCAACAACAAGCCACTAGGGAGAGACAGAACATAAGTTCCTACAGCCAGCGCATTGACAAGTGCTCCATTTCCGACCTTAAGCTAGACTTCTCCTTCAGTGAAATGTCTAACTTCATGCAGATTCTACATTGAAGTACAGATGTGGGAACCACATCCAGTATCCATCACCCAAGAGGTGAAATCAGACATATTGACTTCGATAACGTAAATATCTGAGTTTTGGGGTTGACCCTGGTAAAGGTCTCTCAAGCCTTGTATCATTGGACGCGCTTCCATGTCCGCGTGGAGCCTTTGGAGCTCTTCGGTCATACTTGCCATAATGATACACTTAAAATCTCGCGCGTCGTCCTCATACTTCTTGAATGCTCTTGGATTTTTCCTCTTAAAATTTGCACTGCTATTAAAAATTGTACATCATATTTTATTTTAACATCAATAATTATCATATAATTAAAATGATGAAAATAAAATAATATATATATATATATATATATATATATATATATATATATATATATATATATATATATATATATATATATATATATATATATATATATATATATATATATATATATATATATATATATATATATATATATATATATATATATATATATATATATATATATATATATATACATACATACATTTTCGGCGCTATATATATATAATAAAATTTGTTTTGTCAAAATATAATTATCATATAATTAAAATGACACAAACAAAATATAATTTAAAAATACATATGTATTTTCGAAATACATATATATGTATAAAATTATCACAACTATATATTTAATATTACTCCCACTAGTGTAGTATACTACTCCCTTTCAAGACCTAAGTGTGTGACCCTTTAGGTATCCATAACACTGTCAATGATATTAATATAAATTAATATCGTAGATAATAAGCGGTATCTAGAAACACATTATTACCCCCAGATTATGAAAAAGACGTCCATCTCATCAATACCTTCTACGACACAAGACGTTCTATAACTATTATCCTCCTGTCCTAAATGTCATGATTTAACACAAAGCATGGGATGTATATCGTTGTATAGTTAAATCAGCTGTTACTGAATCTCAAGTAGACTGGCAGGAATCAGATATTTATCAGTCTCTGGATAGCGACATATCTGGGCATGGCCATGCACTTTCCCAAGTCCTACTATTCAGTGGGCCCATTGACATTATACTTCTATACAGTAAAAGGGACAGATCCTGTATCTGTTATTCACATCTCTAAATATGCTTAGCGGCATACCCTACGCATAACGGTACGTCTACCAGTATTTCAAATAGCATTAGTTAGTAATAACGCGGGGGAGCCATAACCTGCTTGGAGAAAAAGGTGAGGGAGCAGGTGCGCTCCTCCTCAGAATCAAACCAGATAAACGACCCATCGCCGTAGTAGAGGCGTTCCTCGGAAGTCGTTGTAGGCGCGCGGGATTTGGACTTGGATTTCCCGAAAGTTCCTACCCTGCTCTTGTCTTTGCCCATGATGAAGAATTTTTCAAAAACCAAGTAAAGGAGATGTAATTTGCTTGAAGATGAGAGAGATTTGTGTCTGTGTGTGTAAAAGTGAGGAGAGGGGGTCCAAATATATAGAAAAGAGGGGTTCCCAACGTCCAGATTTCAAAAATATGGCTGTTGGAGCAATAAATGTAGTTGCCAACGGTTATTTTTTTTGAAAAATTCAATGAGAACAGCGATGTTCTAAAGGCGACATCGTTGTTGGGACAGCGTTGTTGTAGCCTTGTACAGCGTTGTTTTGCGTTACGTTTTAAAAACCAGGTGTCAAATGGACAGCGATGTTGGGTACCCTACAACGATGTTCCAAGACTTTCTGGAATTGTGTGAGGGTTTGAACCCATTAGAACAGCGCTGTTGGCCCTTCCTACATCGCTGTTTTACGATAGAAGGAAAAATTTGTAAAAATGGACAACGTTGTTTCTGTAGTGTACATCGTTGTTCCAAAACATTCTGGTTTTGATTGAAAACATGGTGTTTAGGGAAACAGCGATGTTAAAAAGTGTACAACTGTTGGAAAAGATTCTGGAAAGCATAAAGGAAGAGTGCTTCCTGTGACAGTGCTGTTGGTGTATTTTACAGCGCTGTTGGCCCAAGTTGGTTGACGGTGTTCCTTTCTACAGCGCTGTTGATCTCCCGCACAACGCTGTTTGCAAGGTTCCCCCTGATTTTATTGCTTGTTGATTACCTACAAAGTAACACTTTGGTACCCAAAATATTTCTATGGGTCCTTGGAGGTTAATTGGTTTTTATTATCCACACACACACAAACCGAAAGTTTATTTCCACACACACACACACGATTTGATGATTATTTAGGGGTTACCTTGGCCAACCCGTCATCCCGTGGTTGGCGGGTTCCAATCTACCTGAACGGAATGCCGATATCTCGGTGTGATTTGTGTCGGTTCCGGTAACGGAATGTGGATTTTCTTCTTTTCGTCAAACTAGAAGAAATAGTAGGGTTTCTTTTGTGCAATATCTCGTGGTTCATGATACGAATATCCTTTTCTAAAGGATTTCTTTTTGTTAGCACCAAGAGTGTTGTGTGTTTCATTAAAAGTGAAATCCCTATGTCTGGTAAAGCATAAGGAAACTATATGTCTTACCATATTGCAATAATGGCATACTACGTTTGGATTGAACTTATGCCTGGGTTGATAATAGCTAGGGAGCCTAACCATGTTTGTCCTATTTTGAGAAAAGGATGATTTATGCATGTTTTCAAAAGAATAATTTCTAGGTGTATTTTTAGAAAAATTATTTTTGTGCACAAAATCATTTTGATAATTTTTCATAGGTTGTTTACCATGAACATTTTCATTCCTAGGTTTTTTCTAGGTTGTCTAGTGTTCTTAGATTGACTAGGTTTTCTATTACTCTGATTCTTAAGGTTCTTATGTTGAGTATTAGGTGGTTGTCTAGACGTTTGCTCAACGTTTTCCTTATCCTTAATCTCATTAAAGCATAATCCTTCCTTAGTGAATTGTATAGAGTCAAGAATAATATTAAGATCTTTATGCGGTGTATTAAACCTCTTAACCGTGTTTTCAAGTTTTGCGACTTGTTCTTTTAAGATTTTGCAAGAGTCACATACGTTGGAGAGATTCTCTGGTTTATCGGCGCTTCTTTTGCCATAAAATTTATTTTCTTGTTTTAATTTATCATTTTCTTTTTCTAGTTTTTCAATATCATTTTCGAGAATAGAAAAGCGTTTCTTCAGCGATTTATTCAATTTTGAAGCTTCGACAAACTCTTGATAAAGTTTGTTGTAGTGCATCTTGCATTTCCTCAAGAGAATATGGTTTAGAGGGAGTGGTACATACCTCTTCATTGTCGGATGTTGTTGGTGAGTTTTCTTCGTGTGCCATAAGACAAAGATTGGCAGTTTCATCCTCGTCTTGGTCGGTTGACTCGTCGTCGGAGTCGCCACCCCAGAAGATGTATGCTCTTTGCCTTGTGAAGTGACGAGCATTCCTTCCGCTTCTTGGACATTTGTTCTTGATGTGCCCGGCTTCACCACATCCATAGCACACAGGGCCATCCTTAACATTTTCTTTCTTCTTTAGAAGTTTGCAAAACTTCTTCATGATAAGCTTGAATTCATCATCATCGCTTGAATCATTCATTGTTGATTCTTTGACGGCTTTTAATGTTATCCCTTTCCTTTGGTCATTCAAAGACGGGTTAAGAATAGTAGATTCATAAGTTTTTAGATCACCTCTTAGACCGTCGATGGTGACATTTGATGTGCCGATTGATTCATAGATGGCATGGGCCTTGGATCTCCATTCGGATGTCAAGCTCCGTAGGATCTTTCGCACAAGATCCCTGTCGGTGTAAGTCTTCTTTAATGCATGAAGGTCGTTGACTATCTTGGAAAATCGGTCGAACATGTCGTCAATCTTCTCGTGTTCCTTCATTTTGAACATCTCATACTCTTGGGTGAGGAAGTCGATCTTGGCTTCACGTACTTGGTCCGTTCCTTCGTACGTCACCTCAAGCTTGTCCCACATCTCCTTGGCGGTTGAGCAGTAGGAGATCTTGCGGTAGTCGTCGAGGTTGACCGCGCAATAGAGCATGTTAATCGCCTTTGCGTAGTTCTCTACTTTCTTGATGTCTTAAGAATCAAACTCATCTTCGGTCTTGGGGATCAACTTGTCTCCGTTTTTGATAACTAACCATAATTGGAAGTTCGTAGAACGAATATAGATTCTCATTCGTTCTTTCCAATATGTATAATTGGTTCCATCAAAAAGAGGTGGCCGTGTGGTTGATTGCCCTTCACGTATTCCTGCATACAAATTTATAGAAGAAGAACCCATGATCGCTTTTCTCTCAAACGGTTATGTTTGGACGCGAGTTAGGATTCGATACCAATTATTAGAATAAGTGACCCAATGCTAGAGAGGGGGTGAATAACGTTTGAAACGAAAATGACGTACATCCCATCGATTAGTATTTGCTCTTCGTGGCTGAGTGTCTTCAAGGATGAGTTTCTATCTGGCTCTACCCATGGAGAATCTTCTTGCTGCAGAGGAGTAACATCCTGTTCCACAACACTAATTAAACCCCCTGCCAATAGTGGGGAAAGCCCCTCCTCCAAAGGTAAAGGTCCAAGGGCTTCTCTGCTTACCTTACCTTGCCCTGAAGTGGAGGCAGCCTCTAGACCCTGCACTACAATAGGAGAAGCCAAAAGAGGGGAATTGTTCCCTACTGAACAAGAACCGGTGAAAGCATCAATGGCCTCTAAAAAACACACCAGACCCCCTCTGTCCGTAGGAACAAAAATGGATGTTATCCCTTCTCTTCTCGATTCAAGGATCCTGAGATAACCTCCCCAACTATTAACACCCTGATAAATGGTGATCTTTCTATGCTTTTCAAATCGGGTTATCGCCCATGAATTTCTCTGATTTAGTTTGGGGAAAAGCTCAAGAATCCAATTCAACCCATGTATATCAAACCATATATTGTAATTCCTCTTTCCTAATTCACTGATACAGAAATTCTTGTTGTAACTAGAGTGGAAGAGAGTAAAAACCTTGGTTTGAATTTGGAATGAATGAGATTTATTTGTATTATTGCCCCTTGAGACATGGTGAGACTCGAGCTTAGGAAGTTGCCTGATTTGTGGAGAGCTGCGTTCCCTCCTTCTTCCCCAGTCCTAAACCTTCATGAATCCATTTCTTCGAAAAGAGTACCGCCGTAGATTCCTGAACGATCGCCGATTATCCTGACGGCCGAAGTTCTCTCTAGATCCAATCCTCTATCTAAACCCCATTATATATATATATATATATATATATATATAGNATATATATAAATATATATATATATATATATATATATATATATATATATATATATATATATATATATATATATATATATATATATATATATATATATATATATTGGCCCGGAAAAAAAACCACAAAAATCAGTGGGATATTCATTAGCAACATATGAAACTCTCACAAGAAGGATGGTTCTCTTAGCCGTTACGTTAGGGTGACTCGAGAAAGGTTGAAAGGGAATTCCGAGAGCCCTTAAGCTTGAAGCTATCCTGAAGGAGGAATCCGAGTTGTAAGCGAGTTGTAAGTAAAATAAGGAAGATCGTTCATCAGCGCTTTCAGTAACTATCAGTAACTAAAATGCGTAATCAAGCTAATCTCATTCCTTAGGACCTGGAGCAACCAGACACCAGCCAGGTAAGGTAAAGAGCCTTTCAAGGCAATAGTTAGATTCTTCTCCTCCGGGCTATCGACTCGAGATGCTTGCTTTTACCTGCTAACAAGACTCGCTTTTGTTTCGGCAACAGAATCAAGAAATGTAAGTTATGCAATGAGCACATTGGAGGGACGTACCCCCTGAATCTGAAGATGAATTGAAGCCTAAAGTTGGCATGTTATTTAATTGGTCTAAATATGGATGAGACTTTTATAAAAGGTATGCACACTCTGTCAGTTTTAGTATTAGCAATTTAATAAAAAACTAATGATAAAACAACGAGTCCGTGGTAATACATTCACTGCGATATCTGGGAAAAGAATTGTGTACACCCAACCATTGTAACCCATTTGCATAATGGATTTCACGAGTCCATCACTCACTCCTTAATTTATAGCCTTGAAATTTAAAAAATCAAATGGCACAGCTCTCATATTTGAATAAACCAGATTGTCCTATTCTTTAGATGCTTTAGAGTTTAAAATTTACAACTTGGAATTTTATACATTCTAAAGAGCAGTTTGAAATTGTTACTCTGTATTTTTTATTTCACATCTCTAAACATGCTGGTTGAATATTTTTAAATGTGATATGGTCATTATATCCAAGTCTAACGAACAAAACAATTCAAATCCATAAGAAACATAGAATACTTTAAATCTCCCAACTTTGAAAATTTGATGTTAAATTGTAAGTTATCTTGTTTTAGGTTCAGGAAATGTGGGAAAAGAATTGTGTATACCCAACCATTCTAACCCATTTGCATAATGGATTTCAAGAGTCCAACAGTCACTCCTAACCTTTACCAGAGTCCAACACTCACTCATTACTTTATAGCCTTGAAATTTTAAAAATCACATGGCACACCTCTCATTTTTCAGTTTCAAACAGGATTGCAAAGACGTAAAAAAACAGGTCATAATTTAAAAACTGCAAAAAAATGTATTCTTTATAGCACAAGCTTGCAAGTTATTATGCAGAATGTTCAAAGGAAGTTATTTGAGCAGAATACACATCTGAATTTGAGCACTCTTGAATACATGGAATTTAAATTACCCGAAGAATAATTTTCCAAACTATTGCAAGTTCAGCCCTACCTGTAGGTGAAAAATGACCCTTCTTTCAGTAATAGAAACAAACAACAAAGAGAAGAACAAGCCAAAGAAGTCATGAGATTATACCTAGGAGGAATCTTGGAGATGGTGTCTCATCCCATCTCCCAAAATCGAATATAAATAGCCCAACGTACACGCTGAAATAATTGGCAGGGGATTATTAAGGGAAGGATCCATAAATACAAGACGAGGATTCAGAGAAGACGTTTCAATCATACCGGGATACCTGCATATCTGATACGCAATGCCTAGAATCTAGAAATATGAGGCTGATAGTATTTAGAACCACAACAATTTGATGGTATTTAGAACCACAACAAAAATTAAGACAGTAAAACGCAATTGCCTCAACTCAAAACACGACCTAGAGTCTGACCTAAAAATTAAAATCCAACGGATTGTACCCGCAAACCTAACGCAAATTTGATTGTCAGACACTAAAGTTAAAAGTCAACCTAGAACCTAACCCAAAACCAAACCCAAAATTAGGTCCAATCCCCAAAGTAAGAAACAAAATCCTTACCCAGAACCTAACCCAACAACCAATTGCAGGGGTGCATTAAGCTATTCCCATGTTTAAAGTTTCACATGGCGGATGTGAGCGATGAAGGTAGTCGTTATATAACACCATTGAGAAGCTCGAGCCTAAATATTCGTCTTAGATTGTATTTCAATTGTTTGGAGCTTCAAATTATATAGATCTAAGAGGTAAAATTATTTCATAATTTAAAATAAAACAATATAATAGATATAGTACAATTTTTTTTGATATTTTAATTTTAACCCGTTGGGTCGACCCAAACCGAATGATAATGGTGATGAACATATAGTTCTCTACCTGAACCCGCATTGACCCAAACATGAAGTAGTCCGAACCTGAAGTAACCTGAAATTTTTAAAAATGAAGTCATAAGTTGTTGGGCCAACCCGACCCAATTATAAGACAAGGCTGTGGTGTTAATATTCCTTACCTTACGTCTTATTCAAGTGAATATGATGATCTTGCAAATATGTAACCTGTTTTACATTATGACAAGTCAAACAAAACTAATACTTTGAAGATTTTTCGACTAAACAAACCATTTGAACACAACAACAATGGCAAATCTTCAAAGAACAAGTGTAGGTTTAGTATTTTAAAAAAATCAGACTTTGAACGGTTTGCTAATGGTTCACTCAAAGTGCTGGTTCAGCAATGAAAAGTGCATATCTACTCCCTCATTTCATAATCCTCTCCCTCTAATGCGCTGCCTGTTGCTGAATCCCGCCACAACAAAGGAAGTGTGGTAATTTCACACTGCCACAAACCTTACTAAATTACATAATGTGTTTGAGAGTTTATACGCATACTTCCAAGTAGGGGTGAGTTTTGGATACATATCACCCTCTCCAAACCCTACTTTCGTGGGGTTTTACTGGAATTAAAAGGATTGCTTTAATCGATTAGGTTTGCGATGGATATGCAGATTGAGACCAATCGACATCTAATCGATTAGAAATTTGCGCAGAGGAAACTAATCGATTAAGGAGAAGTTCACTAATCGATTAAAAAAAATTGCTGAGAAATGAATTTTAAATCGATTAATCGAAAGGTAAAAATCGATTAAGAGGCTCAGAAGGGTCTAATCGATTTCTTTACGAAGAAGACCTTAAGGTTGTGTGCGGTTGGAGGGTAAGAAGATGGAAGGTGAGAATTTGAAGGTCTTTAAGAACTCTCTAATCCTCACCCTCCATCCTCTTTCCCTCTTCTCTCCCTCCAACACGTTGAACTTTAAAGTTTAGAAAAACTCGTTATGTTGCTTATAAGAAGAAACTAATTGCAGAGATAAATATTTAACTCAATAAAGAAATTCTGAAAGACTTTCATACATTTCTAACCTTATGTGTACAACAAACATGTATTACACAATGGCTCCACTTGATTCTTCTTTGTAGCAGTTGACTCGTGTCATAATCTCCTTACTGCATGCCTTTGCAATGGTTTGGATAGAGCAAGCATTAGCTGCAGTCAGAAGCAAACAAAAGTCAGGGAAATTTTCATATAACAAAAGGACCAGTTTTCTTAGACATAAATGATTTAGCGTAACTGGAACAAAAAAGAACTTAGAACTTTATTTCAGCTCTTTTCTTCAAAGCCTCCAAGATGTAAAATAGGAAGGAAAAATAATACAACCTCTGGTGACGCATCAACAGTATCGTTTTACATTAGCAATTAGCTACGGGTTAGACGTGGGAACCTTATTTCCTCTTCAGGGCTTCCTAAAACTTGTCAGATTCTTAAGGTTTCATCACCTGCAGTACATGAAGAGTGCAACCACCTAGGCTCTACATCACAAACATGACTGAGTATATTAATCAGGTACTATGCGCAGCTAAAGGAATCTCTTTTCATATTAATTTTTTGATAACGAGAAGATAAATACTTCGACCTGCACCACAAAAAGAACTCAAGATGTATGTCCTGTAAGCTCTGCCATTTTTACCATTGATGTGAAGCTATTGTGTTGTTGAGCAGGTGGACTTGGAATTAGAAATAGCAGTCGCTGATCTCTCTCATGTATAGAGAATATAATTTCCCGGTAAAGTCTAGGAAAAAAAAGCATTGATGTCAGCTTTCAGAGTGATATGTATGAAATCTTATATTCTTTCTTAAACTACTTCAAAGCCATTACATCAAACAATACTTCCTCTAGAGGGTCTTTATTCTTCTGGCTAGGCAAATCATAAACGTTTTTCTTCCTTTTCTTTACTGTAACCTACTATCTTTCCCCTCTTCCCTCTCCCTAGTTTGCACATTACCCTTAAAAAATCCAATTGCAAACCATTAAATCAGAACAAATGGATAAAAAAATTTATATTCATGAACAGACCGTTTGTATTTTATTAAAGATGACGTTTCTTGATTTTGAATTTTTGTAATCATCCTCAACCTCTATACCACCTCTTTCTTCACTCTCATCTGCACCATAGACACAAAACCATAAAATATTCAACGTAAACAAATCATTCACATCGTACGTTCCAAATAAACAGAAAAAACAAACAAACAAACCTTTTTGGGTCTTAGGTTTAGAATCTGAAATATCATCTTCATCATTTTTCTTTTTTTCTTCATCTTTTTTCTGATTCACACTTGGTATGCTTCACGGTTCCAGCTTTTGGAGCAACCGGCTATCCATGAAACTTCTCCTTAAAGTCTACAATTAACTATATGAGCTTTGTACATATAAATCAAACGACTTGGGCCTAAATAGGTGGTACTTACGATGAAAGTTGAACATCATGGATTGAAAATTTGAACATCAGAATTAAAGGAGAAGAAACTGGTGCAGCGTCTGTACGACCTTGGAGCTTCGTTCACTGCTCCTCTAACTCTGATAGTTGCGGCAGATCATTGGCCTAATTTTGGAATCTGGTTCAAATTATAATTTGTTCATTCCTCAACTACGCAAGACTCATCTCCCCGAGTCGCTGCAGCTCCTTCACCTTCTTTCAAAGGTACGAAGGTCGACCCCTGGTGCACTGAAGAAATAAATTGAAAATTAAGACACTTAAACATAGTTCAGAACAGAATATGATTTAGGATTTTAGATTTTGTAACCGATAAATGGAGTTCAAACACTGTGTGTTTGTAATGGAACAAACACACCCTTATGGGTCTGGTTATTTAAGCTTAAGTTCTAGGTTTGGGTTAGAGTTTCGGTTTCTGCGTTAGGGTTTGGGTTGGGATTTTGTTTCTTGGTTTGGATTTCGGGCATTATTTTGGGCAGTTTAAGGTTGAACTTTACACCAACTACAGGGACTGAGCATACCTTTATGGATGTTTGTGCAAAGTTTTTGTAGCCCAGGGAAGAATTCTGGCCAGATTTTGAGTCCAAAAATCTGTAGCACATCGAACAGAATTCTAAGCAGTTTTTGGGATTGTTTCGGCAACAGAATCAAGAAATGTAAGTTATATAATGAGCACATTGGAGGGACGTACCCCCTGAATCTGAAGATGAATTGAAGCCTAAAGTTGGCATGTGATAAAACAACGAGTCCATGGTAATACATTCACTGCGAAATCTGGGAAAAGAATTGTGTACACCCAACCATTGTAACCCATTTGCATAATGTACTTCAAGAGTCCATCACTCACTCCTCAATTTATAGCCTTGAAATTTAAAAAATCAAATGGTACAGCTCTCATATTTGAATAAACCAGATTGTCCTATTCTTTAGATGCTTTAGAATTTAAAATTTACAACTTGGAATTTTATACATTCTAAAGAGCAGTTTGAAATTGTTACTCTGTATCTTTTTATTTCACATCTCTAAACATGCTGGTTGAATATTTTTAAATGTGATATGGTCATTATATCCATGTCTAACGAACAAAACAATTCAAATCCATAAGAAACATACAATACTTTAAATCTCCCAACTTTGAAAAATTGATGTTAAATTGTAAGTTATCTTGTTTTAGGTTCAGGAAATGTGGGAAAAGAATTGTGTATACCCAACCATTCTATATTGAAGGAGAAGAAGCTGCGCTGGAGCTGCATCTGTCCTGCCTTGGCTGTTTGTTCATCGCTCCTCTGCCTCAGGAATACGCAAGACTCTCCCCGAACCACCTATTGGGATTGATCCAGCTCTATGGTTCCTCGATTCTAACCAGGAGCTACATCGGCAGAGATCGTCATTGGTCAGGGATTCCCCTTGCATCCATGCTACGCTAGACCCCCAGTGGCAATTCCCCAGCGCGATTCCCCTGCTAGGGCCGGAACCGTGGTCGGCCAAGTCTAAGAAACGAACGGAGGCAGAAATGTATGGAAAGTGGAAAGGTGGGAACTGAAAAAAGGGGTAGTCTGAGAAGTTAATTTGCCACCTGGCGTGAAGCCCTCCATCTCATACGCCAATTTAGGCCTCCATCTCATACGCCAATTAAGTATCCAATTCTTCACTTGCTACTTTGAACAAAAAATCAATGCTCAAGTTATAAAAAAATCCCAAGTATGTTACACAGAAGAGCCACCACAACATTTCACGATTTCATTTGTTCAGCCCAATCCAATTTTTTTTGGACTACAACTAAAGGGTATTAGTAGAATATGTAGGATAATAATAACCTATTAACCATAGTTGGGTTCATAAACAGAAGAACAATCTGCTCCAGGCACCACTTGTCTTGTGTGACCAGCAATGGTCCTGTGTAACAAAATATGGATATCACAGTCCTTAAGTAAATATATGGACACTAACACCATCTCCCAAAAAATCCAAAACCTTGTGTAGCTACCAACCATCAAAGTCAATCCTAGATTCAAAATCCAAAACCTATTCTAGCTCTAGGCAGTACTAAGCCAGCCTATACCATCACCAAAGTTCATTCACTAATGCTAAACAGCCAACCCAAACTCATGAACAAAAAACCCAAGGTTTGAAATACAAAGCCAGCACCCATAACTACATAGCTACCTAGCCATTGAAGAGATAGTAAGGAAGGGGATGAAAAGGGAATAAAGTAGTAGTTTATGGAGAGGGGAAAATGAATGGAAGTGTGTTGTTTGGACTCAAGAGGATGCTTGACAACAAGCTCTGATACCAAATATTGTACCCAAGCTCCGGGGTTAAGCTTAAGTTTAAGAACAAAGCTCCTTAAACTGCAGGGAAGAGGAATAGTCGATTATCCTAGTATGATACTCGACTAACAGGTGCTTTAGTTTCTCGGGAGAATTTTCGTAAGTTTCCAGAGAGCTAGTTAGTCGATTGACCAGGTGGTGTCAGTCGACTATTGTGGGCTGCAGATTTTTCTGAGGAAGTTGATAGTCGTTTGTCTAAGATTGACAGTCGACTATTGAAGGCTGCGGGGGTTTTGTGAAAGGCTGGATACTCGATTGTCAAAAGTAATAATCGACTATAGGGCGGCTCGGGAAAAGGAAAAGAAGTATTCTTTGGGAAAGGGGAGCAAACCAAGTTGGTGTTAAGAGATATTACACACTCTTATCTTAACTAGGGGTTGAGTCTAGCATTCAAATAAGATATCACATACTTATTTAAATAACTAGAACCTAAAACTCACACTCAAGAGAACCACTCTTAAGATATAGATTTAGGAATTTAAAATAGCACACACAAACAAGTGTATTACTAAGTTGAAAATGGGAATACAATATCTATGTAAGCAATGCCCAGGGATGAGCTTATATAGGAAAAAAGATGAGACTACCAAGTCTCTTATTCACACAAATTAAAAGGAATAATAGCCACTTGTTGGTGTCCCTTTGGTGGGGGGGGAAATTTGGGAAGGGTTGTACTTGTAGGGTAGGTTTTTTGGTCATAAATGGTGGGATGGAATATGCGAGTATAGTTCAAAAATTGATTGGCTTTGGTGTGGTTAATTTTGGGCAGGAGAAGGGTGGTAGGGCTGGTTATTTGGAGCCATTTTCCTGGGCAGGATATGGTGAGGTAAAAGGGGGTTTGAAGGGTGTGGTTGTGGGACAATGTGTCTTGGTTTTTGGTGATTGTTTGCCCAGCCTAGTTGGGGAATCAAAAGTGTGGTTATGGAATGGGTTTGGGCTGGGTGTTTATCGTCCAGAGGTGAGGAAAGAAATATGGTTTTGGGCTATCTTTGGATATTTTGGGATTTGGTTTTTGGGAGAGGGAGACTTGGTTTTAGATGGGTGTTGGGCTCAAGGATATTATGGCTATGTTGTGGGTTTTATAACTGATAAGTTCGGCCCAAAAGGGATCGTAACACTTAGCCATTATTCCATTAATTTGTTTAACGACTTTAGAGTTGTTAGTAGTCACCCGGGGTATATCAGTATGATAGGGCCAGGCCCAGATATAACATACTACCTCGGCTACACCTTCAAAAACTAACTCCACCCCATCCTCATCCAACCCGCCACCCTACAAAGCAAATCCCACCAACACCTGAGCTCCCAAGTGTTTCCGTTGTCAAGGCCTCGGACATTATGCTAATGAGTGTCCAAGCAAAAAAATAATGGCCATTGTTGAATATGAAGAAGAAGAGATCAGCCCCTCATGGGCAGAAGAAGAGTTAGTGAAAGAGGAATGTCTTGGAGTGGACGAAGGCGAGCTCTTGGTTATTCGAAGGGCCTTGAGGAGCATGGTAGCCTCCGACGATCAAGTACAACGAGAAAACATCTTCCACACTTGTTGTACCATCCAAAAGAAGGTGTGCTCTTTAATCATTGATAGTGGAAGTTGCACCAACGTAGCCTCAAAGACAATGGTTGAGAAATTGAAACTTAAGACTTCCCCACATCCTAAACCGTATACGATTCAGTGGTTGAATCACGGGAAGGGATTAAGAGTGGATTCACAAAGTTTGGTTTCATTAAGCATTGGAAAATCTTATTCCGATGAAATATGGTGCGACATCATTCCGATGGACGCATGTCTCATTCTTTTGGGTCGACCTTGGTTATTTGATAGAAGAGTTTTCCATGACGGACATGCCAACACTTATTCCTTCCTCCTCAACAAAAAGAAGATAACACTCAGCTCCTTACCACCCTCCTCACCTACGGCCTCACCACCCCCAAGGAAGAAAACCCCATGCTCATCTCCACCATCCTACAAACTGAACTCCATGAACTTGCACTTATCAAAGAACTCTCATTCTCTTTGAGAATGAGGAAAGTGAACCACCCACACCTGCACCAATACTTCACCCTCTAGCTGAACCCATCCTCACTCAGTTTCCCTAAGTTTTCCCCGAGGATATCCCACACGGCTTACCATCTAAGAGAAACATCCAGCATAAGATCAACCTCATTCCCGGGGCTGAACTACCCAACAAGCCGGAATACCAAATGAATCCTGAAGAAACTAAGGAGATTCAGAGACAAGTGGACGATTTGATAGCCAAGGGATTCGTGAGGGAAAGTCTAAGTCCATGTGCTGTCCTGGCGCTTCTAGTACCTCAGAAAAATGGTACATCGCGCATGTGTTGTGATAGCCGATCCATAAACAAGATTACAATCAAGTATAGGTATCCCATACCTAGGCTTGAAGATATGTTGGACAAGCTTCACGGTTCTAAGGTCTTTTCGAAGATTGATCTTCGAAGTGGATACCATCAAATTTGAATTTTTGAAGGAGATGAATGGAAGACGGCTTTCAAGACCAAGTTCGGGTTGTACGAATGGTTAGTCATTCCATTCGGCCTCACTAATGCCCCAAGAACCTTCATGAGATTGATGAATCAAGTCTTGAAACCTTTCCTTAGTCATTTTGTCATTGTATACTTTGATGACATTTTGATCTACATCATAAGCAAAGAAGAGAACATGAATCACCTCACCTTGGCGATTAGGAAATTGGACGAAGAGATATTACTAACGGTACTCAGTAACAAAATTCTTGGTTTTGATTGTTTGCAGGATTTGTACAAAGAAGATGGAGATTTCAAGGACGTGTATGCACAATGCCTTGTTCGGCCACATGGTGATTATCTCCTCAAACATGGCTCTACCTATTCCACGACAATCAATTGTGCATACCCCGCACCAGCGTTCGTGAAACCATCATTGAAGAGGTACATGGTGGCG